ATCCCAGTCAGGTTGTACTAGCAAGTTAAATGGACTTTCTAGATCCTCCACTACTGATCAAAATGTCACCTTTTGAGAAAATAATCCACAGGAATGACTGTGCCACTATCCTTCTCTGCCATAAGGTGGCCTCTTGCTGTTCTGTTTTATTATTGTCTAGGTTTGTCTTGGATTATGAGCTTTTTGGGCTAGTGACTGGCTTTGTCTCTCGATTTAGCGTCAATCACGCTGCCCTTCAACAAATGTCAACTTAATAGGTAATAGAAACTGCCCATATGCCTTCTGCCAGCATGGGAAAATCCCCACTTCTAGGAACACAAAGTTTAAGTTAACATTTAAGACTTATCTTGGGCTTTTGGGATCAGTCTAATCATTTCATTTTCAAAAGATTTCAGCTTTCTGAGCTGGCCCTTGAATTTCATCAAATTCCTGTCATAATTAATCATTATGCAATGTTTTTTAGAAAAGTCCATTTTAAAACTAGCTGGAATTGGTTCCCAGAATGTACTCCTTCTGTGATGAGGTGATCCTCACAGCTCAGCTCTCTCTAATTCAGTTGCTAATGTTTTATATATCTTGGGGATTTCCAAGGCAATGCTGTATTTGGAAGATTTAAAAATGCACCCAGTTATAAGCCATTTTTTCCTTCATACTGCAGAATTTTTCATTCCCATGGCAATACTGCTTTCATGGTCTAACTGACCTTTTCTGTTGCCTCAACTAACTCAGTCTTGAGTCTAGATGGTTTTGCAACACTTGTCAATATGTTACTATGTGACAGAAGTTTCCTCATCTTTATGATGTGGGGTAGCCTTGTCAGATCTACTAAATGATGTCACTGTCTTGTCTCAATACTCTAGTGACTCATACAAAGCAGTACCTCAAGGAGAAGTATATGGTTCTTGGAGTTAGCTCTCCTTATTTTGGCTATCCTTTCCCACCAACAGGAGGTTGGACTGACCTGGTTAGTATCTGCAGACCTAGACTCAGGCATGGGCGAACCAGGTGGCCGCCTGGGACCCAGACAGAAAGGGGGCCCGGAACTGAAAAAACCCCCGCAACAATTGCAAAAAAAAGACAAAATCGTATTGTTTTGTGACTTATCAAACACACTCAAAAGACATAAACACCATGAGATCAAAAATATATGACTTCTCAACTGTCATGAGTCACTTGTAAACAAAGCCATGCCATTTACGTGCTTGTGTGCAGCCGTGATTCGGTACTAGTACTACTAGCACTGAGTAATTAACATCTATTCATCGTCTACTAAAATTTATAAAAATGGTAATTTTTTTTCTGTTGTCCAATTATTATTATCACTATCTCTGGCAAAGGGGATCCCAATACTAATAGTTTGCACGGGGCCATGAGGAGTCTAGATACGGCACTGAGTATCTGTCATCTACCTATATTGATAAAGGATTCTGTAAATGGGGCTTGCCGTGGAAGAACAGCAACATGTTGGGTTTGTTGTTGTTCTACTGGTAGGGCCTTTTCCAGTGTAGGGTTGAGGTATATTTGGGAGCTAGAAGGAGTGATGGTGGAATGCCAGAGTTTGCAGCATGTTCTAGGAGAGCTCGTGTGGGAGGTTAGTTGAGGCTCTTTACAGGCCTAGAGAGTGAAACAATACCACCTAACATTGGATGCATAGAGAACCAAAGTGAGACGGTTTGGCTGCAAAGGTTAGTAGCACTGTCTAGCAGTTGTGAATAGAGGGAGATGAAGTGGAACAAAATGCTTCATGGAATGCAAGTTAGAATCCAGGCATTAAGGGCATATTTGTATGACTCCTTCAGCCATTGGTGACGCATAGGGGATGCATGTGGGTGCATGTGCACTTCCTGAGCGTGGCAATGCACTTTTTGTGAAAAGGGACCATCAACACTGCTGGCAGTGCCTGTGGGCGGTTGCTGCTTGCCACCCCGCTCCCCTCACTGCCAACACTGCCGGTCATCTGCGGGTAGTCTGTGATCACCACTAGCTGCTGCCGGCAGTGTCTGCGGGTGGTCACTGACCACTAGCCAGCATTCACCACCACCCCCCACTGACAGTGCTGTGGCCGCCTACGGGAGCTCCCTACTTGCTGCTGCCTACAGCATCACCGCCACCTGCAGGAGCTTGCCATGCCCCTGCCAGCCTCCAGGGGCATGCGGCATTCGTGCTTAATGCTTTCAGCATTTTGAGAGCACCTCTGAGAACATGGCCCTGAGTATCTGCTTTCACTCTGCATGTGACAAACATGGAAATGAGACTGCAAAGCTGCCCTGAGGATGCCCCTGCTGCTACTCTTTAGTCTCCTGAAGATTGAAACCTTAACAATGGTGGTGGAAGGCATCACAGGGAAGATTTACTGCCTCATTTCCAGGCTTGCCATGAGCAGAGTAAGAGTGGGTAAGTAATGGCATGCTACTCAGTGGAGTACACGAGAGTACTGCAGAAGCAGCACAGACATACTCTAAATCTGGTGGTTTTGCCTTTAATTATTTTTAGACAGCTTGGGGTAGTGTGTATGTGGGGCAAAATAAATAGACAATGATCGATCCTTGGTTCATACCAGTTAATGAGAGGTCTCTGGTTAATGACGTTCTGGATGTCCAAGATTTGACTGGGAATGAAACTTTAAGTTCTGTAAGTATTGTCAGAAAGTAGTTGAATACTGTCTCTGAGCCAGTTTCAATATAGTTAGTTTCACTTCAATATTTGGTATGTTATAAACCTGTCTGAGTGCAATTGCCTAGTGTGCCTTAGAGTTGCAGTAGAACTAATGAACAAAATCAGGCTGGAGGGAGCAGCCGATGATGTTTTCTCAAAACAAGGACCTCCATTTAGGAATTCAGTCTCTTTTGTTCAAAATAAACCAAATCTGTTGATATTAATGGGCTTTGTATCATATATCATATCTTTTGGTCTTTGAGGGTTAGGATCTGTTTATTGAGAGCATTATTTGTCTCTTTGGCTTAGAATTTGCTACGGGGAAATTATTCAATCTCTGGACACTTTTGTTCTGGAACAAGAATGCTCAGAGCGAGGCACTTGTTCCAGGATAGAAGTGTCCACACTTGAGCTGTTCAGGAGCAACTACCATGCTTTAAATATACTCTGTGTAATCCATGTAAAGTTTCAAGTGTTGACAATCCCTTAGAAAAGGCCTCTGGGTTTGATTTTGTCTACATTTTGGCATGTATTTTTTACTGCAAAGTTGTTTAGACCGCATGCAGGCATTTCTTTAAATTCTATATTAATCTAAATTAATAAATACAAATAAAGCACGCCATACAATATCCAAACACTTAGGTTTGCTTGCTTTACTTTATTTTATCAATTACATCTGGCACTTTGTTTCTTTACTTGTTTTTCTTTCTTCTTTTCTTCCCATCAAGTGTTTTTCTACCCCTCCTCCTTGGTCTAATCTAAGAAAAGTGGCAAGTAAATTAAATAGTGCACATTATCTATTGTGTTAAAATGTGAGATGACTATCAGCATTATTTTTAGAAAATGTATAAATACTGTGCAAGACAGGAAAGGTGGATATCCCTTTCTCAACTCATTTTCGACCCCTCCCAATATAATAACCAAGAGTTGGGTATTTTTGACACACACACATTCATGCTAAGAATGCACAAAAACCAGCTGCAAGGATATACCATGTTGCCATTCAACAATGAGTGTGTAATATTCCTAGGAGACTATTTTCTCTGCATAAAAAGTTGTTTTAAATTAATCAAGTATTGCAAGCATGGGAATTTTGCCTCCCAAACATTATCATTTACTGGAATCAGAATTTTTAACTAAAATTCTTGTTTAAAGATTCAGTGAGATTTTTTTTTTAAGTAATTATGTGTGCAGTGTAAAGGAACTGATGACAATTTTCCTGGACATATTAAGCAAGTCTGCCTCATAACGCTAGCACTGAGGGTTCTGTTTTTGAAAAATGCTTGTCCTTCTTAAAATTAAAAAATAAAGAATACTCTTACGTGTTACATTTAGCCCAATGAATAAGTGATTTTAAAGAGACACTGCTTGAGTGTTAGAAAAATAAAACTTACCTTTTTTGATTCAGAATGGTTTGGAAGTGCAATGTGTTATACACCCATGTTGATTCTAAAAAGATATCAAACATTCCGTCCATAAATGCCTGAGGATCAGAAATAGACCAGATATCATTACATGGCTAGCCTTGACATGGGTAACTGTATGCAACCATTTGAAGTGCATGTTCAAACCAGGTGAGGTGTGATCTTCAACCACATTATGACACTTTGCAGGGCTCCAGCCCTACAAAGGAAAAAAAAAAGAGGGCTGGGGATGGGCAGTACAGGTAGCTCAGTGCCTTTCTTCTCCCAGCCGAGCACACTACATTGAACCCCCTTTTAGCACACCCAGTGAACCTTTATTAACAGAAGGGCTACTTCTGCTGTCCCTAGCCCTTGCCTATATCAAGGAAAGGTGTGATGATGTAATTACATTAATGTGCTTACGTACCCGTACAAACCATGCATGCCGGCTGCACAGGAGCAAAGAAGAGTTGACATCAGTACAGTTTGGCCTAGTAACATACCAAAGTCAGGTGCTGTAGGGTAAATATCCTTCCTATGGACAGGGCTCCTGGTTTACTGGATGCTAATGTGACAGTCCAAGGAAATATAAGGGAAGCTATTCCCTCCCACCCTCTTCCCATCTCCCCACACACACCTATGTTGCTTGATATGTATAGCTGGATTGGAGTTAGACATCCAGCCCCTTTACTTTGATAGCTGAAGAAAATCAAAGGTTGGTTCTTCATGGTACTTGATAGCTTCAGTTTCTTTGGTGGCTTCAAGTATGCTCACCTAAGTTACCCCTTGCAAAAGTGGCATACATACAGCGATATGTGAGTCTCTGTAACATGTTTAGTGGTTTGTGCTTTCCTATTGTTTGTGGGTCAAATTTAGGAGGAGATTTTCAAAACTGGAGAGAGGTGGTTACACGGTAATGCAAATATCTTTTAATTTTGACAGAGACCTGAAACTGGACAATATTCTTCTGGATGCAGAGGGTCATTGCAAGCTGGCTGACTTTGGAATGTGTAAAGAAGGGATCCTGAATGGAGTAACCACCACCACCTTCTGTGGAACCCCAGACTACATAGCTCCAGAGGTATTATTTGTACCCACCTTCCCACAGAAACATCATCAGGAATCATAATAATGAACTACGTTGCATGCATCCAAGGTGAAAGCTGGTGGGAAAGGAAGCTGGCCCTTTATATGTAAGGATGGGGCAAAGACCTGAAATTCTATATTTCATAGCTGTTCCCCACTTACCTGGTTTGAGGACTTTATCTAGTTAATACTAACTTTTCTGTTGGATATTTGTCTGTTCTGTTGCCTTTTCTTTTTAACTGAGTAGTTGCTCCATATATCAAAATACCTACGCCATGTGCTCTGTGGACTGCTGCCAAAAAGCATGGGCAGATAAACATGCTCATATTTAGCTCCTTTTATCATCTAGTTGGTCTTTCATCTTTTTTCTGTACCAGAAGGTGGAGTAGGTGAGGAAAAAACATTTCAAATGAAGCTACAGTAACCAGTCTGTTTTTCCACAATGTTGTCATTTAACATTTTTTCTGAGCCAGCATTCTGTGAACACTGGCTTTCTCTGATGCTTGTCCACATTTGTGACCCCCTCGGTGCTGTGACTCTGAGTCGTTCAGATGCTAGTTGTAATGGGATGCTAGCAGCAGTAGAGCATGAACAATCTTAAATAGAGACATGTTAATCTGTTTAGGAGGATTTAGGCAGGTATGAGCAGATACAAGGTAATGTACTGTGAATTTCATGTTGCAATAGATCTTTATGGGCATCTCTTTGTCTCATTGCTTTGAGGTACTAGTGAGTATAATAGAATCCTCTGCTTATCCACATGGAATGGAAATTTGGACCTTTATATAAATTAGGAGGAGAATTTTTTCAGATGAATAAAGGTGTATTAAGACAAAACTACATTCAGAACATACACCCAGAAAAACAGGATGGTTGGATGGAAAGAATGAGACAAAACTGTGGTACTTGTAGATTACATATTTGCATTCTCAAGATTCATTACTTAAACTGAGTCAGCAGCACATACATAAGGGAAGCCCATGTAAGTATGCATCTCTTTGCCCATAGGACCTGGAGACACTTTGCCTTCTCAAGTTAGCCACCAATCACCCTGATCTCTGTCCTTTATCTCACCCAGATTGTGGTTATGCTAAAGGTGCACTTCAATGTGCTTGATGCAACTCAAAACGAGATCAGTTTATCTTTTATCAAACATTATTTTGCAATTAGAAGAAAAATGTATTTGCCAAGGAGGAACAAACTGTAAATCTGCATTGTTAGCTCTAGCTGACAAGTACAGACAAGTAGAAGGTGAAAGAAATGCCAGCAAGGTGATTCATGTTGAAGCTATCATAATTCCTATGTTCAGTTACATTTTTTAAGTAATTGGAAAAAGGACCAAGTAATAAAAGAAAAGGAAGATAAGTGTGGAAGCTCCTGACCTAGTAAATACTCTTTTCTGATTCCTTTTATTAGTGGAGTATTTTCTGGAATCACTTGTAAAGTATTACTAAATAAGAAAGGAATAATAAACTTGTAAGCGCAATCTGGATTCCACAGTACAACCTCTGATTGTTCCCTCTCATTTTCTTTTCATCCTTCCTCAGGAAACCTTTCTCCTGCTTTCCCCCCTTTTTGAGTTACCCTGATATGTTTCACTATACTCTTGATTAGCAGTAGGCTGGAGCTAGCCTTGAGAACAAAAGACTACACCATAGCAGGCTATGGAGAAGCCTGATTCTGAGCAGTACAACTTGTGCAGCTAGCATTTCTATAATGTAGTTCTGGGATAGTTCAAACCAAAAACTAGATACAAACAGCTATAGATTTGGGGGAAATGCAGAGGTGGACAAACACCATGGCTCAAATCTTAAATCCACAGCTGGTTTTAGAAAAATGTTGGATTGAATTTTACATATGTAATAAAGCAGCATTTACCAGAGCAGAGTACAAGTACTCCAGTTTGATCTTGTTCCCTACCCCAAGGTTTCAAGCTAAAATACTCATAGTCCTGAAGAAAAAGTATCTGGTGATTGCCATTCCAGCTCATTGATCACAGGTCAAGCTTCATTCTCTTCTTCATATTCTGATACACTGCAGCCAAACTACGAACTCTTTTCCAACAGGCTCAAGCCAGCAATATAGCTTAGTATAACAATAGCCTGGAGTAATATAATAATGATGATAACAATGATGATGATGATCATCATCATCATTCTACGCCTCCTCTGCCCACCCAGGGTATCTGTTACAAAGTGGAATGTGCACCCATCATGCATTAAAACTTGCTATTTCTATGAATAAAAGTGTGTCAGTTTTTCTGAAAAGCAAAGATAATTTTAAGGAAGGCAAGAGTCATGCACTGCAAGGTAAGGCTAACACTATGTGAAGGATAAACATCTTTCTTAAGGAGGATGGTTTTGGTTTCTGCCATTCCTGCCTAAGGGATTAGTATATCTCACAGATGCCCCAGTACCAACTAAATCAACTTTATATTGATCAAGACTGGGACAAAGAAATCTCTTGACATTTGCCACCTTTTGTTATATGCAGTAGTCTTTCCCCTTTAGTATGGTCCAGTTTAAACAATTTAAAAAGATATACCCTACTACTACTCATTAAAATGCTGGAGAATGCCAATAAATGTAGTTCATGCTTCTGAGAACTCTGTTGCAGGTTGGTGTGCACTGATGTGCATTTAATTTTAACTGCTATTATTGCAGACTGCACTAGCAAAGGCCCAGGCCTAATACCATTGCCTTCAATGATGTTTAACCCTCTTTAGGCACTGTGGGAGGGTAAGGAGTCATGTTTAAACAGTAAACACATATCTGCGGGTCTCACCCAACTTGCCTATTAAATCTGACCTCTCCATGTCCCTAACAGATCCTCCAGGAGTTAGAATACGGTCCCTCAGTAGACTGGTGGGCTCTTGGTGTTCTGATGTATGAAATGATGGCTGGACAACCTCCTTTTGAAGCTGACAATGAAGATGATCTCTTTGAATCCATCCTTCATGATGATGTGCTATACCCCGTCTGGCTCAGTAAAGAAGCTGTCAGCATTTTAAAAGCAGTGAGTGTGCCATTTCTTTCTCTCCCTCTCTCTCTTTTATTTTGCATAAAATTGAATTTGCCTACAGTAGTTAAGAACAGTCACCGCTGGGAGTTCAACCATAGTTCAGAGTGCCACTGTCAGGATGATGGGGCCTGGGATAAGTTACACTTCTTGTGGGAAAGGAACAGAATGTTTGTGTTCCATGCAGTTGTACACTTTATAAATCTGTGGACCACAGATTCATGTTTCAGGGGAAAACACAACCAACTAGAGCTGTGTTATCACTCTGGCCCTCTCCATACTGCATGCTCAGTAGGACCGCGGGGGGGGGGGGAGTATTATGTAATTAAAGAAACAGTATCAATGTTTTTATTTTAATCAACTTATAAAATGTGATACCCTGTTGCCTTTTTCCACATGTCAAGATAGGTGACAGGATGTTACTTTTGAAGTTGCACATTCTTGCGCCTAACTGACACAACAAATGCCTATATTATAGTGTAGTATAGTGTAACTGATGATGCCATAGTCAGCTGTCCAAAGTATGCAAAGTGACTGACCAAATGTTATTCTACTGGATTCTATTGATTTTCCATTCAGAGGAGCTCTTAGTTTGTCATGCAACCAAAATTGTGTTGCCAGACAACTTATTGGGACATATTTCTGAGCCACTTGGCTTTGCTAACACAACTCCCCCGATGTCAGTTGTTTCTCCTGTGCTACTTCTCTTAAAATAAAAATCAAAACAGAAGTTGTATGCAGCGTTCCCTGTTTGAAAACATAGAGTATTTTTAGCAGTAAAATATCTTGTGTGTAATGCCAATTTTCCACTTATTTTGAGGGCTCTTCTTTTCAGCAGCTATTTAGCCATTAACCTCACTGGGGATTTCAGTTCCCTGAGATCTTTACCAAAGGGCTTTACCATGATTAAGTCTGTATAAAACTTTGTTCTGAAAGTGACACAGCAGGTTGGAGTAAAGGTTAACTTGGATAGAGATGGGACAAGGCACATCACTCAGCATCACTTAGTGCAGGGGTGGGCAAAATGCGGCCTGTGGGCTGGATTTGGTCTGCCAGGTCATTCTATCTGACCCGCAGGGCCCCACCACCAAAATTTAGAAAATTAATATTTATCTGCTCCTGGATGCCTGTCATGCAGCCCTCGATGGCTTGCCAAAACTCAGTAAGCGGCCCTCCGCCCAAAATAATTGCCCGCCCCTGACTTAGGGTATGATTATTTTCCCTGTCCTTATCTGTGATGATTCTTTCACATCTCTTGACTTGTGCACAGATGTTTTAATTATTTTCACTTAGTTGGGATTTATGGACTTGAGCTGCAAAGTTTGATTCAGTATTTAAGCTTTCTTGACTATCAGTCATGTTAAATCCCAGGTTTTCATCTGGTACGTTATAGAGACAGAAGTTGCTGTTGATGTTCAGTTCTACCCCTGAACTTTTGTAACATTCATTAGCTTTCGATTTGGGGTTTGGGTTTGTGCCTACATAAGATCCGCTCCTACAACTCCATCCAAAGTGTCTTTCTGGGTGCCTGCCTCTTATTGGGCTATACATTTTCCCATCTCATGAGACTATTGCTTGAATAAAAATGTGTTGGGATAACTCCTTGCAATAAATGGGCACTTACAGAGCTGTTCTGCCTTCTAGGAGGAGTGATTTGACCTACAAAGAAAATGGAGAGGCAGCTTTGAAAATGTTTAGCTTTATAGTCTTACTGGTACTACCAGGTAGATGTGTAGCTGCTCATCTTTGTGCTTGTAGTTTGTTAACCACAGAAAATGCAGGTGTGTGGGTAGGCTGTAAGTGTAAATGATACATCTCTGAGAAAATATGTGCAACAGCACATAACAGGTTGGTTTCCTTTCATGCAGCCTTGAGTATCAGTGTATAATTTTCTGTTAATTTCAATCAGTCTGTTTTACTATCTGCATGTTTTGATAGCAGGTGTGGTTGTTTATCTTGGCCTAGCATTCCCTACATTGCATCTTATTCCACAGTTAAACCGTGAAAAAAAAAGACAATCCATAAACTGTTTACACTTTGAAAATAGATGATTCCCCATTTGGCCAGATCCCTGCCTGCTAGAAATCAAAAAATCAACAGCATCAGTTTACACCAAGTAGAGATCTACTTATCTGCAATTTGTTATCTTCCTCTACTATTTGGGTCATGTTAGATGGAGACCAGGAAAAGCAGAGGAAGGAAAGAAAGAGGTGTCTGTTTATTTTACTGCTGAATGCTAACAAGGATTAGCTTTAGAACACTTTGTTTCCACACAAGGCATAGGTCTGTAGATACTGGGCACGTCTACTAGGGTTGCGTGAAATGAGCTGTATTTGATTCAGATTTTGCCCAAATCGGAGACATTAATTCGGATCACTGTCCCTGATGCGATTTGGCCAAATCCAAAGATTTGATGCTAATTTGGCGAATCAGCAATTTGGACAGCTTTAAAAGTTTTTTTTACATACTTTGAGGTAGCAGCGTGGCTCGTGATCGCTGCAGTTTCTGGGGCGCATGAAGTGTCTCACAGGAGCACGGGGGACTCTCCAGCATGCTCGGCAGTGAATCCAGAAGCGGACCGGAAGTACTTCTGGTCCACTTGCAGGTCTGCCAGGGAGCGTGCTGGGAGCCCTCTTGTGTCCCCCCTGGCTCATATGCTAATGTGGAATAGAATAGGCTACTGCACATTAAGCATCACCTAAAAAGTGTGTGCTTGTGCTACTGTGCATTAGTGCAGCCTACTGCACATTTATTTAGTATCTCAGGGTGACTGTACATGAGTGCAGAGGCTGCTCCAATGCGCTGTAGCATTAAAGCAGACTTGATGAATCATGTCTACTGGACAGTGGTAATTACTGCGCTCCAGCCAGCCTTCATGTCTCATGTGTTAGCAGCATCCCTGCACTTCAGAATGGCAGCGGAGGCACTTGAACTAAAGCTCGTTGAACAAACTTCAGTTCAAGTGCCCCAACTGCTGTTTTGAAGCACAGGGATGCTGATACATGAGACACTGCAGTGCTTTTATTAGAGCGGCTCTCGGAGCTGCTCTAATTAAAGCACTGCCCCCCCTCCCCGCCCTGGGAGCAGATGTAAAAGTGTCGTCATACTGGAGGTACTGAATTTAATGTGTATTCAGAAAAGTGCATTAATGGACATGTAGACATGCCCACTACATATTTTCTTAGTTCTTCTAATAGCATTGAAGAAAATTATGTTTGCTTACCTCAGGCATTATTTTCAGTTCAAAAAGTAGAGTTTCTTTTTTGCAAGAATCAGTTTTCCATTTAATTTCAATAAAAACTTCCAACTTTCCAATGAAACATTACAGACAACATGCCACATATCCCAATATAGCAGTTCTTATTAAGCTCATTCTGTAAATTTACAAGAAGAGGTATTTAAAATTCTTTTTTATCATGTAAGGGCGAGAATTATTCATTGAAATGAGTATATATCTTCTGATAATGCAGGAATGTATGATAGACAGATACTATCATATGTGTGCAGAGAGCTAGATTTTGCCTAGCTCTGTGTTTGGGGGAGGGGAAATCTGTGTCTACTGAACCCGTCGTTAGTGTACACTTTATGTTGTACCCTTTGTACCTGCTTCATGCATGGATGCACATCTGTTTCATCTCTCAGCTTAAAAGCTTTATTATTTCGTGCAAGTTGTAAAGATGTGGAGGTCTGGAGTTCCTTGATTTTGATCTGCAATATTCAGTCATAATTGGAGGCTTCTTTGAGCTTTGAGCTGATTTAAGCTTCAAACACATGGGACCTGTTTTCACTGTCCTGAGGCTGCTCAACATGTTATACTAAGTGGTCTGTGCTCAGTCCATCCAACAGAGAGTAGATTCTGTTACAGGCCCCAGTATTACCACCTGGTTATTTAATTCAGTTTATGAAGACTTATTTTAGCCCTGAAAGCTTTTGATTTGAATTCTCAAAGAATTCCTATTTATATGACATCTTGGCCAACTGTAGGGGATGAGCAAGCACTTTCAGAGCTAAAATTTCACCTAGCTCAGGCACAGAGAGGAAGACATGTGACACACAGAGACCAGTCAGTTACATTCATACTGGCTGGGACAGTTACTCTACCAGCCATGCAGCTCCACCTGTAGGAGTAAGAGGAGAGTGTCATTACAGACAGGGGACAAATGTTTTTGCTACCATGCTGCTTACACCACCTCACAAGTCCAGGTTACACACTAGTAAATATCCAGCCTTATTCAGAACAGGTCTTGTTGATGTGGTAGGACAACTAACACTGTTACCACCAATGACTTGCACCACACGTAGAGCAGTTGTAGGGAGAGGGCATGGGGCACAAATCTTTCCTTGCACAGTGGCCTGTGGTTTGTTTGTGTTCCACTTCCAGGAGTTCCCAATGGGACAGTTTGTCTCCATCTTGGTCTCTACCAGGAGCTTAACAAGCAGGGACCAGGCAAGCTGTCATAGCTGGTCTGGCATCAGTGGTGGCTGCCATACTTGTGCCCCCTCTTAGTGGACATGCTGACTCATCTGGTGCCCTGGTCACACACCACTCATTATGTTACTGTTCCCTACTTCCTTTGCAGGCTAATTGAATCCTAGATGTTTACTGTGGCCTAAATTTTTCTAGGCCAAGGTCTTTATTCCTTGCAGTTTTTCTGTTCCCCACAAATGAAAATTTAGTTGTGATTTGTTTTGGGGTTTATTTGCTTTCCCCCCACCCCTTAGGAGCTGGATTGCACCTTGCTCACTATCTGAAGCATCCTCACACTGCCATCTGTAAGGTCTGAGGTTCCAGAAGAGGAAAAGTGACTAGCTTCACGCTCTGCTCCTGCAGGGTCAAGGAACACCTGAGTAACAAGCTGAGTGACAGTGTGTGCCTTCTCTCCTTGTAACAAATGGAGAAGAACACAACCAGGGATTGCAGAACCTCTGCAAAAGCAGGGAGTCTTTTTAGTTTGGCTTCCTTCTCTTCAAAGGGCAGCTGTAAGAATTAAAGTGAT